CCAAAAGAAACACAAAATCTGGCAAAGGAAATTTCCAGGGAAGACATAGGAAATACCTTCCAGCAAATCTCACAATTTAATCAGTCTATCAAAGAGCATGTAATTCCACCCCTGTATAAATGTAGACCACAGAACAGGGTGGGTGGCCTAATCTTAATACCAAAACTCAACAAAAACACAAATGAAAAGAAAGATGCTGATATATAGGTCTTTCTGAAGATAGTATATTACCCATGATTATAAATGTAAAACTCCTCTATGAAATACTAGAAAATCAAATTCAGGAATATGTCAGGAATCTAAGTCTTGTTAACTTTACACCTAGTAGTGTAGTTCATCCATGAGTAGGTTGTGACATTTTAACTTGGTACAGAAATCAACTTGTGGTCATGAATGTATGCTCACGTGTACATGACGGAGGCACATTACAATGATATTCTCGTCTAGGAAGAAAGAATTATTTGGAGAGGGCTTAAGAATCTTTAGTCTTAAAAACTGCTAAGACTGGGGCAGCGCCTGTGGCTCAAAGGAGTAAGGCACTGGCCCCGTATGCCAGAGGTGGCGGGTTCAAACCCAGCCCCAGCCAAAAACTGCTAAGATCTAATAACCTTGTCCCAGCAGAGGGACTGTATTCATTCATTTGTTAATTCACTCATTAACTTTGAAAAGCTGTTTTTCCACCTATGAAGTTCTGACCAAAATGTAATATATACTCCTAGACAATCCGTTTGCCAGAAGCTCTGGTGCTTTTTACTCCTGTATTTCTTTCTGTCTAATAAAATCCTATCTTACCACTAAAAAAAAGAAAGTCTTTAAGAATTACTTGTGAAGGGCTTTTTTATTTTGTTAAGGATGGTGGCCAGGGACCCACTCAAAACCGTCTCAGTCAGAATCTCAGACATAGGACATAGGGTGTTTATTACTGAAAGCTTCTCAGCTAACTCTACTGATTGTGTCTACAGAAGAGCCACACAATTATGGTGACTGTTTATAAGTACTGTAGTTTAATTTTCTTTCCTGTGGTTCGTGTGAATTTTTGGAATTTTCCAACAATGAGGTATACTTTTCTTTTTTTCACTTTATTGTCCTCTGTGACTGCTGTCACAGCTCACAGCAACCTCCAGCTCCTGGGCTTAGGTGATTCTCTTGCCTCCACCTCCCAAGCAGCTGGGACTGCAGGCGCCCGCCACGACACCCGGCTATTTTTTTTGCTGCAGGTTGGCCAGGGCTGGATTTGAACCTGCCACCCACTGAGCCACAGGTGCCACCCAGAATTTTCCAGTAATGAGTAAATGTCACTTGTTAATTAGAACATTTTTTTTAAATTATCTTACAGTGTTTTTTCGCAGCTTTATGAGGTATACTTGCCATGTGATTGATTGATGCCTGTTTAGAGCAGACAATCTGATAAGTTTTAGGCATGCTTTTTCTTTGATGAAGACTGCTTTTGATATTATATCTAAGAAATGTTTGCCCAAGTTAGCGTCACAAAGATGTTTTCTTATTTTTCATCTTAGAAATTTTATAGTTGCAGTTTTTACATTTAACACATAAAATAGAGTCTGTGAGTTGCTGTTTGTATAGGGCACAAGATGTGGATTGTGCGTGTATTTTGAGCACATCAGATATCCAGGTGGCCCAGCCCTGCTTGGTGAGCGGGTCCCTGGTCCCCGCTGAGTGGCCTTGCACCTGTTGTCACTCAGCTGCACATATTTTGTGCACATGTTAAGTCTTTCTGGACTCTCATGTTTCCCCTTAATCTGTCTCTTATGAGGCCAGTGTTACACTGCTGTGATTACTGTAGTTTCATTATAAGTTCTGAAATCAAGTAGAGTTAGTCCTCTAACTTAGTACTTTTTCAAAGTGGTTTCAGCTACTCAGGTCCTTTTTGTATTTTCTAACAATTCTATAATCCACTTGTTAATTTCTATATGAAACCTGTTTTGTTTTTTTTTTTGAGATAGAGTCTCACTTTGTCACCCTTGGTAGAGGCTGTGGCATCACAGCCCATAGCAACCTCTAACTTCTGGGCTTATGTGATTCTCTTGCCTCAGCCTCCCAAGTAGCTGGTGGCGCCCGCCACAATGCCTAGCTTTTTTTTTTTTTTTTGCAGTTGTCATTGTTGTCTAGCTGGCCCAGGCTGGGTTCAGTCCCGCCTGCCTCAGTGTATGTGGCCAGCCCCCTACCCACTGAGCGACGGGCACCGAGCCAGTTAAGTGTGTTTTGTGATTCCATTTTAACGCCTTGACTTTTTAGCTATGACATTTGTTAATTCATGGTGATTTCAGGGTTTATGGTGTACATCCTTACTACCGTCTGCCTTCCAGGGAGATCACAGCCCTTTGCGGGGACTGTAAGGCCCTTACAGCAGGGCGCTGCCGTGTCTCCTCCCCACCTTCAGGTTTTGTCTCTCATGTTAAACAACAGATGTTCAATGCAAAAAATGTTAAAAATCCCATTGCTTTATTATTTTTGTTTCAGTAGTTAACTTTATGGCCAGGGCTGTGTTTGAACCCACCACCTCCGGCATATGGGGCCAGCACCTTACTCCTCTGAGCCACAGGTGCCGCCCTCAGTAGTTAACTTTTAAAGGGATTTAAAATAATAGGGGAGGTGATGCCTGGGGCCTCCAGGCCAGGGCACCTCACCCCCTTTCCTTCCGTTCAGTGTCATTTTCTTTCTCCTGAAGAGCTTCCTTTTACATTCTGTGTAGCGCAAATCCTCTGGTGATGGACTTGTCCAGCTTTAGTGTCTATGGAAAAGTCTTTTTTTTTTT